AGACCTAACTAGACATTTTTCCAAAGAAGAAATATATGTGGCCGACAGGTACATGCATAGGTGCTGAACATCACTAATAATCAGGGAAGCGCAAATCAAAACTGTAATGAGATATCACCTCCTACCTGTAAGAATGGCTGTTATAAAAGAGGCGAGAGATAGCAAATGTTGGTGACAATATGGAGAAATTGGGATCCAGGTGTATTTTGATGAGAACACAGTCATCATGGAAAACAGTATAGAGGTTCCACAGAAAATTAAAAATAGAGCTACCATGTGATGCAGCAAACCCACTTGCTGAGTATATATCTGAAGAAAATGCAGTCAGCATCTCAAAAGATATCTGCACTCCTATATTCACCACAGCATTATTCACAACAACTAAGGTACGGAAACAACCTAAGTCTTGGTTGACGGATCAATAAAGAAGATGTAGGGGGTGTGAGTGTGGTACATACATATATGTGTCTATGGTATGTACACACATACATCACACACACACACACACACACACACACACACACACACACACACACAGAGGAATATTATTCAGCCATGAGAAAGAAGGAAATTCTGCCATTTGCAACAACATGAATGAACCTGAAGGATATTGTGTTTAAAAATAAGCCAGACAAAGAAAGACGAATCCTGTATGCTCTCACTTATATGTAGAATCTAAAAAAAAAAAAAAAAAAAGAAGGTCACATCTATAGAAACAACATAGAATGATGGTCACCAGGGGCTAAAGGGTGGGAAGATGCTAGTCAAGGAGTACAAGCCTTCAGTTATAAAAAGAATAAACTCTGGGGGGGCGGGGCACGCCTGGGTGGCTCAGTGGGTTAAGCCTCTGCCTTCGGCTGAGGTCATGATCTCAGGGTCCTGGGATTGAGCCCCGAATTGGGCTCTCTGCTTGGCGGGGAGCCTGCTTCCCCCTCCCCCTATGCCTACCTTTCTGCCTGCTTGTGATCTCTCTTTCTCTCTCTGTCAAATAAATAAATAAATGAAATGAAAAAGAATAAGCTCTGGGGATTATAGTAATTCTATATTATATACTTAAAAATTGTTGAGAGTAGATCTTAAGCGTTCTCACAACTACTGTTATAAAAAAGGAAACTGTGGAACGTGATGGATATGTTCATTAACCTGATTAGGGTCATCATTTCACAATACATATGCAAGCTGAATTGTCACATTATATACTCTAAATATATATATATAATATACATAAGTATAGTTTTATTTGTCAGTTATAGGTCAATAAGGCTGGTAAAGCGCAGTAAAGTAATCATTTCTGATAATAGGTAATTTTTAATAATTTCAGTGAATTTTAAAAATCTGGTTAAAAAGATACATTTGGGGGGATGCCTGGGTGGCTTAATCGGTTAAGCATCCTCTTGATTTGGGCTCAGGTCATGAGATCGAACCCCACGCTCAGTGGGGAGTCTGCCTGAGATTCTCTCCCTCTCCCTCTGCCCTCCCCCTGCTCATACATGTGTGTTCTCTCTCTCAAATAAACAAGTCTTTAGAGAAATTGGATTTCTCTCTCAAATTAATTTTATCACAGTGCCTGGGTAGCTCAGTCAGTTAAGCATCTGCCTTTGACTCAGGTCATGATCCCAAGGTCCTGGGACTGAGTTCCGTATGGGGCCCCCTGCTCAGCACGGGGGGCTTGCTTCTCCCTCTCCCTCTGCCTGCCACTCTCCCTGCTTATGCTCTCTCTTTCTTTCTGTCAAATAAATAAATAAAATCTTAAAAAATTTTTTTAAATTAAAAAAAAATAAAACTAATTTTATCAATGTAATATAGAGTGTCCACAGGGGCAGGAAACATAGGATAAATTTATTTTTAAGCAAGATGTTAACATTTTCCTATTATATGTTCCATGTATATCTCCACCTCCAAATAGCTTTTTTGGTAAAGTACCTCTGAATTTAAAGCAAAGGGTTGGTTGTTAATTTGAAAAGAAGGACATTAAATATACAAATTTGTTTTATAGTCTGGACACTCTGTATAGTTTTGTGCAGATTAGCAGTTGGACCCATTGTTTTAAGTTAGAGTTATGCTTCACTTGAAGTTATGCATCACTTGAAACCATATTAAACATGTCCCTGAAAAATGTAACTAATATATTATTTTTTAAAATTTGAAACTATCTATACAGGTAGTTTAAAAAGTCAAGTAATGGTAAAAGACTTACCACAGTGGGTTCTCTCTCTATTAATCTCATTCTCCCAGGTGAGAGTCCCCAGCCCCAGAGGAAACTATTTTCAAATTTCTGTTTATTCTGGCATTTACTCATGTATACATTTATAGACAAATATGTAAACTGCTATCCTTCAAGTTATGAAGTTTTAATTACTTATTGGCTTACTGTCATGATAACGAGGGTTTCGTGCTCTTATGTGACTTTCTCCTCACTTCTGTTCCCTTATCCTTCTGATACAGTTATATTAACAATTTTTGGATACACTACTGTTTGATATTTACATTTTTATATACAATCAATTATTTGCAGCTAAGCATAGTAGTGTACTATGACTCTGATGGACTTTTTGTTTTTTCTTGCAGTTAATACTTGGTTTGTTTTTACGTTTGCTTTATTTTCTTTGTGGCTGTTGCAGTGCTGTGCTCATAGATGTTTGACACCCCCACCCCCAAGAAAAGCCCTGATTTGTATCGTTTGCATTTGTTTGTATTGTGTTTGATTTTTCATTTCAAATTACCAGTGTGAGGTCACTAAACAAGTTGCTGGGAAAAGATGCATACAGTTGGTTCTCAGCTATTAGTAACTTCCTCATACCTGCTAATGGTCCACATTGGGACTTTAAAATTGAGTTTCCCTCTTCTTCTGTTATATTTTTTAAATAATTTTATCTCATCAAAGGACTTACTGGTTCTGAATCTCTTCTTTTGAACTCTGAATGTTTCAATAGGCCTTGGGGACTTTGGTCTGTGTATACTTATACTTACAGAAGGAAGAGGTTTCACAGTTCTATCCCAGGCATACAGGGTCCTGGCCAGAGAAGATGAGGCCAAAGTTATACAATCTAGTGCTGCTATTTTGCTAGAGGAGGGACAAGGCTATTGGAGAACAGGAGTCATGGTGAAGCTATGGTGGTCTCATGTGAGGTATGTCCCTGTGAGTCTGGTCATCAGGGTTCTTTTTGAGGCTGGTTGCTTGAACTCCTAGTCAGCTGGGGCCCTGCCCCACTTCCCTAACTGGCGTGCTTACTTATGTTTGGTGCTTCCGCAATGCCTGGCACCATGCATGCCAAGCAAGGTCTGGGATGGCATAATTTGGCCCGCTGCTTGCGGAACTTATTCATAGAGTTGAAAGTTGGCCTTCTCTGAAAGTGGGGGCTTTGACCTCATCTCCAGGCTCTGCTCCTGTGGACCTGGGAGGTATCTGAGTTCTGGTATCCCAGGTTCAGGTAACGTGGGAGCCCAGAGTTCTGGGTTCCTGCAGGAACTGGTGTGTGAGCCACTGCTGTTGGCATCTCTGCGTTAACTAGGGCACTGCAGCGACAACTGGTCTTGGAATCCTTTGTAGCAGTGCCAGCTTTTACTTGATCTGCCATCGTCCAAGCGTGGGCTGGAGGTGTGCACCACCACACCTCAAGCAGATGACTTGTACTGAACTAAGCTTAGCAGTGTTTTGAGGTCAGTCTCAGGGGGTCCCATCCACTTTCTGGCCAAATGGCTTTTCCTTCTCTTGCATTAGATTCGTTCACGGGGAAGGTCATGCAGCCTTCCATTCTGCAGTAAATCTTATTAAAAGGCTTCAGAATTCTGGTTCATTGATGGTCTTCCCCTTTCTCCAACTCTGCCAACATTCAGGGCTGAAACAGACTTTTTCTTTTCCCTTTAAAAGTTTCCTTGTTCATTTCAATGGGAGTTAGGTAGGGATGTTCATTGACTTGGCTTCAATCGCTGTTTAAAGCAGAAGTCCCAACAGGGCACCTCAATTGCTGTCATTCTGGGTTTATGTACAGCAAAGGCGCTGTCCTTTTGGACTGCAGAGGAAAGTCTTCTTAAGAAAGTACTGTGATCGAGGTGCCAGGGGGGCTCAGTCTGTTAAGCATCTGCCTTCAGCTTAGGTCATGATCCCAGGGTCCTGGGATTGAGCCCCGCATCGGGCTTCCTGCTCAGCGAGGACCATGCTTCTCTGTCTCCATCTGCCTGCTGCTCCCCTACTTGTGTGCGCTCTCTCTCTCTGTCAAATACATAAATTAAAAAAAAAAAAAAAAAAACTTGAAAAAAAAAAAAAGAAAGTACTGTAATCTGGCAACCGAGGCTCGAGCAGCTCTGAATGCCCCGGTGCTGATTGTGGGGCAGCCGGTCGGCTTTTCTGGAAAGGTCTATGGGGTTAATGTAGTTAATGGTATTTGGAAGGCATAGGTGGAGGAAAGCTGAAAATACGGTTTCTTTTTAAAGGCGAGATGAGATACTGGAAAGAGAGAATGCTCAGATGTTACCATCTTGAGTGGGTATTGTTGAATCCTGTTCCTGGATTTGTGACAAACCTGTTTCAGTAAGGCCGTGAAACTCAGAAATGATCATTTTAAGAAATGAAGTTTAAGCTTCTCTAAGCAGGCTTTTCCCAAAGGGTGGTCTGTGGGTCTGGGGCCATTGAATTCTGGGCAGGAGGGGCTTCTTCAGAATGCAGCAGGACCTTGTCCTGGACCTGCTAAATTAGAATAGAGGTGGGACCTGGAAACTGGCATTTTATATCAGCACACTCCCCCCGCCCCCCTGCCAGGGATTCTGTACAGCCCACGTGGGGGAGCCATTGGTCTCGATCCTTGATTCTTGTTTAGGGTTGCCATTTTCTGCAAACTTTGGTTTTCTTTGGTTTTGCTTAAGCAGCCCTCTGATGTAAACATAGGTGGAATTTCTCCCCACGTTATCATTCATTCCTGCCTGTTTTGTTTTAAGCTCCAGGATGATTATTACTGAATTTCCTGAGTTGCTTTGCATTTCTGGATTCCAAACTCTGAACTTTTGATTTTCCCCCCTCCACAGAGCCGAGAAAACAGAAGTCCTCAGTGAAGATCTGTTACAGGTAATAAAAATCTTTTTCAGGTGCTTTGTTTAAAGAGGAAAACCAAACCAAACCAAATCTCGTAGGTGAGAATGGAAGCAGATGGATGGATGGACATATGTGTGTATGTGTGTATTCTCTGACGAAACAGAATAAAATAAAACGGATCAGTGTGGTTCTGATCCTTAAAAAGAGCAGTTGGGCTGTGTGGTGATGGAAAAGGGATCTGAAACTCTGGTGTCATGTTATGAAGTTCAGATGGGGCTAGTCCTGCTTTCAAGTGCCAGGTGTTGGGGTGGGGTATATGGGCCAGTTCACTGGCACTGCGGCCTGGTCACGGGTCCTGGGCAGGCAGAGGGACTGTTGTTTGCTGCTGGGATGGTGTCCTAGATGGGACAGGCCCTGCCAGCTGTGGCGGAGGGCCCCACTGGCTCCAACCTAGAGTTTCCACTTCTCCTTCCCTTTCACGCTGTTGTTCCCCAGTTCTGGGCTGAGCTGGGTCCCGAGGGACTTAGAGTCTCAGTGACAATGACCAGATCTGGCAGAACTGCTCTGAGGCCCTGAGGTGGTCTGCCACCCACCTGGATGTCTTTTCCTCTCCATAGAGAGGGGTGTTTCCTGTGGGGACCTCAGCCAGGGCTCCTGCACTTCATCTCTCAACAGGCTTCCTGAACTCTGAGGCTCGGAGTTTCTCCCAGAAGGCCTGGGACCCTTTATACACATGCCTTCGCTCCACCTCAGAACCTCCCCTCCCCCGCTCACCGCAGAGCACACTGGGAAGGACAGAGCCCCTCCTGCACTGAGGTTTCTCTGAAGCCTCCTTGCTCGTGTCATTTCCATAACCCACAGTAGGTGTGTGCACTTGACCCCAGAAGACCAAAGATCTGCTCCCAGGTGACACTCCGTCTCTCCCTAGGGAGAGAAGGAGCTAGCATGGTTTAGAAGAATGTGGCTTGTACCACCCCGTGTCAGAACATCCTTCTCAATTATGACAGCCGGCCACAGGTACAAGATTTTAAGAGCACCCCTCCCCCCCCCCTTTTTTTAAAGGACAGAAGTTTTTATTAAGGATTAGAAGGTTTTTTTTTCCCCCCAGATTTATTAGACAATCATGTTCTTAATAATATTTCCTCACTGGCTTTTACCATGTATTTCAACTTCATTTTCAGACTTCCAGCAATGTTGTTTGGTATTAGTTAACCTTTAACTTGACTGGGTTTTCATGTCCATGTTCTGTCTCCCACATCCCGCATCAGTAAACACATGATCTCATTGAATCCTTGAAGCCCCAAGATGCAGCCCAAGGGCCTCTCAGGCAGTTCAAGGATGGCAGAGTTCCCATAGAAGGCAGGCGGCAACGGTCTGTGCTTGTCTCTTTGCCGGTACATCCACTGGGGACCCAAGAGTGTGCCAGTTTCTAGGAACACCTCAGTTCATGACACGGATACTTACTCCACATCTGCCATCATTGCTACAGATGGTTTCCCCCTTCTTTGACTATAAAGAAAGAGAGTAATGGGTAAAAGTGTGGAACCTTCCTACCCAGGTCTGCCCTTGACTCGCTCTGTGGCCTCAGAGATTTATTGAACCTCCCTGTGCCCCAGTTTCCACTTCTCTAAAATGAAGATAATGGCTATATCCACCCCATAAGGTTATTAGCAGGAGTTAATGGGTTAAACAGGAAAGCAGGAGGGATGGATACCAAGCCACAGAGATTTGTTTGTTTGTTTCTGGTGTGAAACTTCCCTGAATTTGCTCTGTGTGCCCCTGCCTCTTAGATCAGTTCAGGAGGCTCTATTTTGCCTCTTGTTTTTCACTGTTAAGTTTATTTTGCTCGTGTGGCAATTCCCTGGGAGGCTGTGAATCCCGGGAGGGTGAGAACCTCAACTTATTTACTATTGTTTTTCTACTACCTTGCCCAGAGACGGGATGCATACTTGTCCTTTCAACAGATATTAAATGAACACCTTATATTTGCGAACCAGATAGCATTCCAGGCACTCGGGAGAAGTCAGTGAACAAAAGACACGGAGGCCCCCGTTCCTGTGAACTTGACAGTTTTCTCGTGGCAATCAGAATCAAAGTGAAATGATGGGTGCTCTTGTTTATTTTGGTTTTGATTTTGCCTGTTTTCTTGGCAAGTAAAGAGTGTGTATTATTTTTCCAGTGTTTTAAAATCTGGTCATTATAAGATCGGGGGGAGGTGATGTGGCATCTGCTCCTTATATGCCTGCCAGATCAGGGTCCTGGTGGTCGGGCCTTGGCTCTGAAGAAAAGCTGCTGGGGCAGTGAGGACCTTCAAGGAAGAAACACAGAACCATAACACTGGGCAAAATATTGTAGGGTAATAATGCATTCTGTTTTGAATTTGTTGATTTTTCTTTAAAATAGAAAGCATCCCTAAGGGCCTGCACTCAGTCTTAATGAGTCATCAGAATACACATTTTTGGCATTCCTTCCCGTGAAAAGCAGCTCTCTTTGCCATAAACAGCCATATCCCAGCAATAACATTTTGGGAAGCTAAATCGTGATGCGTGGGTCCCCTTAGTCGGTATTTCTTACTCTTGGCTGTCCCTTCTGCTTTAGAGGTTTATTCAGAACAAAACAAAAACAAAGCCAAAAACCCATCCTAAACCCAATAAGGAGCCATTTTGAAGATACTGACCTTGCGTGGAAATTGCAGAACTTTGATTCTGGTCCCTCAGCCTGATGTCCTGTGCATGGAAGGCATGGTCGCCATCTGCGGGAGATCGCTTCTGAATGTCCCTGTGATTGTTTCCGCTTGGCAGTGGGACTGGGCCTGAGGTGTGCACCTGCATTCCCGCAGGCTGGAGCCCGGGCTTTGCGGGCACTGTGGTGTGTAACTGGGCTGCCACCACTCTTTCTGATGGCAGGTTTTGGTCCAGACTCCACTCCCTCCCTGCGTGCAGATTTAGCCCTTGAGAGATGGAAACCCCTCCCACACCCGGAATTATTTGGCCCCAAATATCAGTAGTGAGAATCGCTGGTGTAAGTGAATGGGAACCATTTCCACGTCCACCCAAGAGCTGAACACTTAGACCATGGGATGCTTTTCCTGCCTGCGTGCCAGCGCCATGGAGGAAGAGGCTGGATGTGTTCTTCAGCCCCTTGCAAATGGCTCATTTGTCTCTGTTTTGTCAGATCGAGCGGCGCCTGGACACGGTTCGGTCAATGTGTCACCATTCGCACAAGCGTCTGATGGCATGTTTCCAGGGCCAGCACGGCACCGATGCTGAGAGGAGATACGTGAGTAGCGGATGTGACTCGGGGCCGTGGTCCTTGCGTCTCTGTGATGCTTTGCACGCGGCAGCCCGTTGGTTTTCCTCAAGCAGGAGCAGCAGCGTTGCCTTGCTGATTTATACCTTGTATTGCCATTTACTCTCATGCCATCTGCCTGACCAGAACGTTCTTTTGTGCCTAAGATGTTGCTGAGCCAGGGGCACCTGGGTGGCTCAGTGGGTTAAAGCCTCTGCCTTCGGCTCAGGTCATGATCCCAGGGTCCTAGGATCGAGCCCCAAATCGGGCTCTCTGCTCAGCAGGAAGCCTGCTTCCCTCCTCTCTCTCTGCCTGCCTCTCTGCCTACTTGTGATCTCTGTCTGTCAAATAAATAAATAAGATCTTAAAAAAAAAAAAAAAAAAAAAAGACATTGCTGATCCAAAAGCCCTGCTCACACTGAATTTTCTCCAGGTGCTTTTAAAGACTTAGTGAGCCATTTGTCATTGATACGACAGATGTCTGTTAGGAATGCTTTGATGGCAAAAAAGCTGAAAGCCTGTCTTAAATGGACTTGGAAAATGGACATAATTTATTGGCTTACTAACTGAAACGTCCAAAAGCTGGGGTGGACTTGAGGTAAAACTTGGGCTAGCATTTCAGTGGTTTGACCAGAACCCTACTTTCTTTCCTTCTGTCCCCTCTGTCTTCTTCATTGTCTGCTTTATCCCTACATGGGCTCCTCTCAGTGGTCACAGGTTGGCCACCAGCAGCTTCCATGAGCTGCTTGCTTCCTTGTGCGTGTCTGGCAGAAATAGAAAGCGTGCTTCAGTAGTTTTCTTAATGGAGTGGGAAATCTTCTTTTTCCAGGTCCTTGGCAAGTAGAAACCACCTCCCATTGCATTGGTCCATATTGAGCCATATTTCCCATTCCTGAACATTCCCATTCCACCCTGGTTACTGTGGGCAGGGGTGAGGTTGGAGAGGAGATGTGGTGTGCTGGTTGGCTTAAGCTAATTGGGGCCCAGCCCTAGAGTGTGGGCTTCAGAGCCACTTCCAGCTCACAGGCTTTATTGACCCCCGGGTGAATCCCTAAGAGAAGTCAGGATGCTGTCGTAGAGAGGAAGAGGGCTGAACTCCAGGAGAACCGTCGAATGTGTCCATCCATTTCCTCCTGTGCCACCAGCAACAGTGGTCATGGGGCCATCCCGTCCTTGGGTTTACGAGATCCGGACTCAGCTGCATATGCTAACCCTTGGAAGCCCACATACCATTAAGGTGATAGTTTCAGGGGCATCCTGGGAAGCTGTGATTTGCCGCAGTGTTTTGTCTGTCACCGGATGTCTCAAAAGGAAGAACTGGCATGTGGGTGATCTGTGTCACCCTTTGATTTTTCCTACAGACATCTATGGGACATCGAGACAACAGGGTTCTTCCTCTCTTGTGCAATACTTGCTCAGCTGCAGTAGTTATAGACCAGCGAGTGGAACTTTGCGCACACCCACGATTGTAGGAATGTCTGCTGCAGGTCCAGTCCCACAGAACTGGAGCCAGTTCCCTGGTCCTGTCCCCACGGCTCCTCTCCTCTTGCCATGGCTTCTGTTCTACCGATCCTTTTCACACGGTACCCTAAGGCTCTGTCCTTCTCCTTATTCCCCCAGCCACATTCCTTGGGCCACCTCCTCTGTTCTCATGGCTTCTGGCTGGTGTGTTTATGCCAGCGACTTCTAAACCATCTCAACCAAGCAAAAACACTTCCTTCCCCAGATGTCTATTTCAGCATGCGTGACCAGTTCTTCCTTCTGTGTTGACTCTCAAGTTCCACCCACCCTATTATGCAAGCCAGAAACTGTAGGGTTACTTTAGGTTCCCTTTCCTTTTATCCTCACCCTCCCATAGCTGCTTGATGAGCAAGTCCTGTGATTGGGAATATCTTTTGAATTCCTCACCTCCACTCCCATCTCTGCCACCTTTGCCTTAAAGCAAAACCTGATTACCTCTCACCTGGACAGTGAGGTCATTCCCTCAGCTTCAATTCCTGCCTCTGGTTCCCTTGTTTTCCAGCCTGTCTCCAGCCAGATCACCAGAATGTTCTGAAATGTCATCTTCCTGCCTGGAAAAAAAAAAAAAAAATCTTAGCTTCATGGTTCTCAAGAAGGACCACAAGGACACCCCTGGGGAGATTTGGAAAAATGTAGAGACACTTTGGGTTGCTGTAGGAACTGGGGAACACTTTTGGTGTTTGGAGGGAGGGGACCAATATGCCAAACATTCTGCAGTGCCTGGAGGGGTAATTCCACACCGGAAGTGGCCCCTAATGCCCATGGTGCCTCTTTCAAGGGGGCGCTGGCTGCTTCCCGTTGGTGGGATTAATAGTCCAAGCTCTTCAGCATGACAAGCCCTTCATAATCTGACCCCATTTCCCCTGACAGTCCCGGTGTCTCCCGCTTCCTCCCATTCGTACTTGTGCCTTGTCCTTCATGTTGTTATGTCTGGTCGTTCCCTCTGACTGCTTGAAGACACAACCTGGGTGTCCCATATACTCCTTAAAAACAAACAAACAAGTATTTATCAAATGCCTACAGTATACAAGTGCTAGAGACAGAAGATGAAGAAGAGGTAGTCTCCACCTTAAAGGTGCTCACAGCCTGGTGGGGAGAGACGCGCAAAGGGATCATTATAAAATGACATGTGTAGCAAAGTGTGCACGGGGCATCATGGGAGGACCAAGAATGGGGCATCACAGGACGAGAGAAGTAGTCAGGCAAGGCTTCCTGGAGGAGGTGGTAGCCCCACAATAAAGGAGGGCAATGAGTGGCAGGCGATGGGCATATGCTAGGCAACAGGGGCAAAGGTGCCCAACCCTCATTTCTAAAACCTAATGCCAGAGGCTTCCTTTTCCAGCCTCAGACAGAAGAGCCAAAGACAGGGCTCTGAGGCTGTCTACACTGTGCACGTGGGAGGAGCAGTCACCATAGAAACGATAGAAGATAGGTGACCACAGAGGTCGTACAATGCGGAGAAAACAGCAGCAGCCTCTAGGGCCCTAGAATACACAGGAGGAGCCTCTCAGAGGCTCGCATGTGTGTGAAGAGACAAGACTCGGAGGCAGTGGTTTTCCCAGTCTAAGACCTGGACACGGCAGAGCTCATGCTGTGCGTCCTGTGAGACCTGGAGTGACTGCTTTTTGTGTAGTTGGCACACATTTTATGAATTATGACTTTAGAACTTTTTAAATGAATCCCTGGCGATAAAAAAGCTGCCTGTGCCTTGGCAGTGTGCAGCTGTGATCGTGGAGGAGCATGGCGGTGGTCGATAGCATCTTCATCAAGGAGCCCAGGGTTAAGTAAGCACAATGTCCTTATTTGTATACATCAAAAACAGGATTGTCGCAGCTTTGGGGTCAGAGCCTGCAAACCACAGGGCTCTCTGATACTTGCAAAGTAGACTCACTCTTTTTATGATTTTTTTTTTTTTTTTTTTGTCCAGAGCTCCGGAGTGGCACAAAGTATATTTCTCCTGATTATTGCATTTATCCTAGATTTAAATTCCCTCAGAAAGTCAGCATTACTGGGGTGCCTGGGTGCATTGCTGTGCGTCCAGCTCTTGGTTTTCGCTCAGGTCATGGTCTCGGGGTCATGAGATCAGGCCCCACGTTGGGCTCCGTGCTCAGCACAGAGTCTGCTTGAGATCCTCTCTCCCCCTCCCTCTCCTTCTGTCCCTCCCCACCCCTGTCTGCATGCTCACTCTCTCTATCTCTCAAATAAAATGAATAAACCTTAAAAAGAAAGAAAAAGGCAGGCAGCATTATGAAAATGTCTGAATTACGCTCACCATGTTCAAGGCACGCTGCCCGTTTTCTCCTGTTTTCCTAGTCTTGAAGTGTAGAATCTGGGAATGTCTCCTTGTGGGGCAGGTGAGGCCTGCTATTTAGTTACCTGAAAACAACTTGAGAAGATAAGAGATGGGTAAATACAGTTGTTGTTGTTTATCTTGGCATTTCAAATACTGTTTTGAATAGTATATTTATAGTATATTTAGTATAAATAGTATAAATAGCATATTTATATATAGTATATTTCACCATATTTACATGGTGAAAAATCCAGTATGTACAGGAGAAGGTAAAGCGAGGTCTGTCCCAGTCCTGTTCCCCGGGCACCCTGCTGCCCTCTCCGAATGACCAGCACTGGTAGTTTCTTGTGTAGCCCTCCAGAGACATTCTCTACAATGCAAGCAAATGTGGTGCAAGTATTGCACGGAACCCTCTGAAAGCAGGGAAGGCAGGTGACATGCGACAGGTCAAGGCTCAACAGTGCCACGGCAGTATGGACCCTGTGTCTTTGCCGTGAGGGCCCTTTATACTGGGGAGGCAAAGCCGCTTGGAGCCCTGCAGCACTGAACGCGGGTTTTTTTGTTAGCAGATTGTGTTATCGCCAGCCCCTGGTACTTTCCAGGCCCCTTCGACCCATATTCTGAGATGAGCCATCAGCCCGTGGTGGCAAGGCCCTAACCCTGGGCTCAGGCCATGGGCACGGGGTTCTGGCTCTGGGGCCCCTCACTGGGGTGCCTGGCCAGTCCACCTGACCTCCCCGGGCTTCAGGTCCCTTGGCTGGACAATTAGAACATTAATTAGAGGATCGTTATGGTCATTTCCAGCTGAACAAGGAATCACTAATAGGCTTTGGGCTCAAATACCTTAAAAAAACCTTTTTCAGACATTTAGCCAGATATTTTTAGATACTTAACTGAAGCTATTTCGTTATGATTACAGCCAAATTAAGAGCCAGTTTAAGAATGAGTATTCTTAGGGCACCTAGGTAGCAATGTTGTCTAAATGACCAACTCTTGGTTTTGGCTCAGGTCATGATCTCAGGGTCGTGAGATCGAGCCCTGTGTCAGGCTCAGCACGGAGTCTGCTTAAGACTCTCCCTCTCCCTCTGCTCCTCCCTGCTCTCTCTCCCTCTCTCTCTCTCTCAAAATAAATAAATAAATCTTAAGAAAGAATGAATATTTTAGCAAAAGTTTTTGAAATTAAGCATTTTATTTTACGTATTTGTTATGATCATCAGAGAGCAAAGTCTGTGTCTTCTGTTCCCAGTATCTGGGACACAATATGCACTTAAGTAATTAAAAATGACAGCTAACAGCAACCACAACAATACTAGCAGTCAGCACATACTGAGCACTTACCGCGTGCTGGGCACTTGACGTTGAACGTCTCCTTAGACGGACAGCCCTGGGACACCTGTGTTGTTACCATGCCTCTGTATTACCCAGGCATGAGGACATGGACATAGAGCTCACATAGCTTCTGCCTTCGAGACCAGAACCTGAATCCAGACAGGCTCTGTCTTACCTGTGTGGTTTTCCTGGAGGAGAAATTACTGAAGGGTGACCTGAAGCAGGTCTTCAAGAACGGGTGTCAATAATAGTGAAACCAACACACTGTCTTCTGCCTTCCAGAAAAAACTCCCGCTGACCGCTCTCGCTCAGAACATGCAAGAAGCATCAACTCAACTGGAAGAATCTCTGCTGGGGTAAGAGTTGGCTGCTTTCAGGGAGAGAGCGCAGAGCCCCGTGGGTCAGCGGGGGTGGGGGGGCAGCCATCTGTGTGACAGGGTGACTATGAGTGTGACGGTGTGGCTCATCCACCAGGAGAACAGTGCAGTGTCTGTGGGGAAAAAGTGGGGTCCAGGCCACTGGGATGGTAGAGAATCTTCCATTTAGTGGGAGCAGGGCTGGAGACAGACTGAAAAGGCTGCGAGCAAAAGTGATCGATAGGGTCCATATTTATTTCCCTGAGCTTGGGTATAAAGAACGGATCTCTTTGCTGTTCCAGCTGTTGACTCAGGTTTACAACTGACCAGTCTGACCAGTCCCTTCTGGTCCTTAAGAGTCACTTCCTAGGGGACACCTCGGTGGCTCAGTTGGTTAAACATCCGCCTTCGGCTCATGTCATGATCCCAGAGTCTTGGGATTGAGCCCCATGTCAGGCTCCCTGCTCAGCGGGGAGTCTGCTTCTCCCTCCCCCTCTGCTGCTCCCCCCCCCCCCCCCCCCCCCCCCCTCCCCCCCCCCCCCCCCCCCGCTGCTTGTGCTCTCTCTTTCTCTCATGCTTTCTCTCTCTCTCAAATAAATAAAATCTTAAAAAACAAAAACAAAAACAGGGGTACCTCGGTGGCTCAGCCGGTTAAGCGTCTGCCTTCGGCCCAGGTCATGATCCCAGGGTCCTGGGATCAAGCCTCACATCAGGCTCCCTGCTCAGCAGGGAGTCTGCTTCTCCCCATCCTTCTGCCCCCTCCCCCGCTCATGCTCTCTGTCTTCTGCTCTTTCTCTCAAATAAATAAATAAAATATTTTAAAAAATAGAAAAATAAAAATAAAAAACAGATTCTTTGGCTACCTAAATTTAATATTTTGTACAATAACAGATGAAATGTCAACCATGCAAGATAGTTATCAATTCCATAGAGGCATAAGACACATTTGATAACATATATGTGTTAACAGTCTTTTTCATCCTAAAGCATAAATCTGTAGACTCACATTTTAGGCAATGCCCAAAACATATAACGTTTTTGAGGTTCTACGGCGTGGCCCCCTAATGCATTCCCATCACGTAGAGAGCCGAACTGGCCCAATACAGTAATGAGGTGCCTGATGCTTGTGGGGGTGTCTTGTGTTTTTAAAGGAAGATGCTGGAGACGTGTGGTGATGCCGAGAATCAGCTGGCTCTAGAACTTACACAGCATGAAGTCTTTGTTGAGAGAGAGATTGTGGAGCCTCTGTGCAGCATAGCAGAGGTGGGTGCTTTTGCCGGGAGGCACAGAAAAGCTAAGACTAGTGTGGGCTGCGTGGTGAATGGTTTGCTTGTGTCTATGATTTTAACAGTAACCAGTGGCATTGATGTATGCTTCTTTTTGGAAGTAAGGGGAATAAATTGAGGGTACAAAATCCTATGCCTACAAGAACAAGAGAAGTAAATAAGTATTGCCCTTTCAAATGTTAAGTTTAAAACCCCAAAGCTTATCCCATTCGATATGTGGTATGTTCTTCCTAGGTGGAGATTCCCAACATCCAAAAACAGAGGAAACAGCTCGCTAAATTGGTGTTAGACTGGGATTCGGTCAGAGCCAGGTAAGGTAGAGCTGTAAAAATAACCAATAATGCAGGACTATTGTCCCTCCCTCAGCAACCGTCTCGTCCCCAACACAGATGAGAGAAAGGCCAGTTGTTGGACAAGACGCAGGTTTCCAGACTCATGCACTTGACCTGTAGACCAAGTCACACCCACTTCCACCTGCTTTTTAGGGCTTATTCTCCCAAGCATGGCAATGGGGATGATGTTAGAACATCCTGTTCTTAGTGGATCAGCAATAAAAAGAGACAGGGGGAAAAAAAAAAGGAAAAAAGAAACTTAAGTAAATGTTTTAAGGGGAGAGGGGTCAGTGGCAGGATGTTCTACGAGTGTTCATTGCTTGGATAGGGGACCGTAGGAATAGATCTGTGATCTTAGCGGTTCTGAGGGTCCTGCCGTGTCCAGACTCCGTGTAGTTATGATACTTTCATGATCAAACACTGCTCTCAAGAGGGAGGAAATCCCATAGAACTAAGAACCCATCCCAGAGGGCTGCTGACTTGTGGGTTGATGCCTGATGACGATCTGCAGAGCCTCGTGGCAGGATTCCAGGCTAGCTCTGTCCACAAGGGCATTTGTATCAGTGACTTACATGGTTTTCTTCTCGGATGAGAGTGGGAAATAATGGAGGCAGCCACCCCGGCCCTGTCCTTTCTCAGACTTTATCACAAAGGTTGCTAAACTTTCTGTGAAGTATTTTCAGCTCTGCAACCCACGTGGTCCCTCTCACAGTTAATGAACTCTGCTGTTGTAGCATAGGAACAGCTCTGGATCATAAGTAAATGAAAGTGTGGCTGTCTCCCAATAAAACTTTATTTAAACAAGAAGTGGCTTTGTTAGCTCTCTGTTTTTGTTTGCTTTTGTTGTTGTTGTTGTTGTTATTGAAGAATAATTGGCACACAATGTTGTATTAGGTGCACAACATTGATTCGACAGTTCTATACGTTGCTCAGTGTTCATCACCTTAAGTGTCGCCCCCATCTGTCCCTGTACAGTGTTACTACAATTTTCTCGGCTGTACTGCCTATGCTGTGCTCTTCATCTCTGTAACTTACTTATTTGGTAACCGCGTTCACATTGCAGTCCTGTGAAGTGGATACGATTATTTCTCTTTGGCAGATACACGGAGAGACAGCCATCATTTCCTGAGCTTCTACCTGGGACATGTTTTTTTTTTTTATTGCAGATTTAGAACATGGGTAGCAATTCTACAAGGCAACCTTTCCTCGTTTCTAAAATACCACTGAGTATCAATGCACCACTGATTTAAGATCTACTTTTTTGAGGGACGGGGTAGGGGGAGAAACACCACTCCATTCAATGTACAAATCACTTGTCCTGATTTAAGAAACATTGAGCTCATAAAAGGTAATGATCATGGTAAAAATAATTGCCACCACTTACCGGACACTTGCCACGTGTGAGGCCCTGAGCTCCGTGCATGGTCTGTCAGCTCACTTGATTCTTCCACCAGTTCCTATCATTCTGCTCATTCATGTTTTCGACAGATCTCATTTGGGTGCTTACTGTGTCAGACTCCATGCTAGGTACAAGTGCCAAGGCCCCTCAGGATAGGAGAGGGAACAGGGGTCAGTGGGTTAGTTCCTCTTGAAAAGAGACTTCTTTTATCAATCAGGGAGGGACCTGCACAAAGTACCCACATGACTTGCTTCATGCCTCAGAGAAGATAAACGTCTGAGCTAGGTCCCTGGCTTAAAGTCCACCATCTCATCTCCTTGTCACATGGACAGAATCATCTGGGCCAGGACTGGGAGTGGAGGCCACCCTGAGGTTGAAATTTTTTTTTTTTTTTTTTTTTTTTTTTTTCTCCAAATAAGGAAGCATGTTCTAATGGTTAATTAAATGAGGCTGTGAATGCTCCCTCACTAGAGTTGGTTGAGTGACATAATAGATGCTTATCTGCTAGAAGCTTCACATGTACGGTACATGTATCCTTGAGGGGATTTCAACACAGATTCTTGATCTGCATTCATGGTCTTGTCCACTTAACCAATCAAAGCAGGTATCAGAGAAACAGACAGTGGAATTTCTTTACTTCTTCCTGTGGCTCTTCCCTGGAGGAAAATGATCCTACCTAATGACTACTTACTGCTTATTTTCTAAGCAGGAATCAGTTATAAGGCAGATATAATCTGCACACACATATGCATGCATATGTATATGTATTTGCTCTCTCCCTGATTCCTTATGATGGTTCTGCAAGGCAGACGGTGTTGGCTGTCTTCGTGTTATAGATGAGTTTACTGAGGCACAGAGAGGTTAAGTCATCGCCCAAGGTCACACAGCTAGTGGCGGGAGAGCCAGGCTTCAGATTTGAGCATGTCTGACTCCAAAGTCCAGGCTCTGTGTGCTCACTATACAGCCTCACTAAGCTGAGCTTGGCAGACTCGCCGAAGCTCCACTGTGGGGAAGTGCCTCACATCAGGAGCTGGAGAGAAGGCAGAGCATACTGTTGGGGTGGGGTGGGGGGCACAGAGCAGCAGCTGGAAAGCTTGATGAATTGCTAGTATGGGTTTTCATCTCTATAATATCCATGTTTACATTGAAATTGCTGGCACTTTCCAGAATAGCACACATAATCCAGACTCAAACAGAAGGTCAAAGCGTACTTGAAAACCACACGGAGATTGTTTTAGATTACTGTTCCCCCTGTACTCGCCTATTCTTGCTATGGTATAATTCTTCCTTTTTTCAGTACTTCTCACCTACTGTAAAGGGAATGCGAATATTCCACGTGACAGTTCAGATTTGTTGAAAATTTGGTCTTTAGTATATTAATTCTAAGAACTGTTTTTTATTCTACAAGTTTTTGCTACCTCTGAATTGCTAGCTGCTTGACTGAAGTTCTGGGTTTTACATGATGGCAGTAATCACAGCTGAGGATGGTAGCAGGAAGAGTCATAGGAGCCCAAGAGGAGGACTGACTCCCAGTGGCACAGGAACATTCCAGGTCAAAGCAGGAAAGTGCAAGGGTGTTTCACTGCAAGGATGCCACGATTGGACAACACCAGAAAGGGGTTTTGCGACGTGATTTCCAGCAGTGGGGCATGTATGAGACAAGATGTGGTAGATTATATTCCGAGCAGATAGCTTTGCAAGAGTCCTGTCATGCTTGCTTCCATTCCTGGAGGATAAGCTCAAGAGAGGCTAGCATCCGATGTATGCTGTATGTTTTGGAGAAAATCTGTCTCCTTGAGGGCCCTGATTCTACAAGGTCGAGAATGTGCAGCTGCTTTTCAGATGCTGGTTGCCCCCATGTTTTGCAGGTGGAACCAGGCTCACAAATCTTCAGGAACCAACTTCCAGGGGCTTCCGTCAAAAATAGATACCCTAAAGGAAGAGATGGATGAAGCTGGAAATAAAGTAGAACTGTGCAAGGTACGAGACTTCCCTGATAAATAATAGTTGCATCAGCCTGGTTCTTGCAAATGACAGAGGAAAGGGTAAATCCTGCAGATTATTTAGTGTTTCACACAAGTCCTATCAGAATACTCTGCATGATAGGAAAGGTGGGTTTTAGTTTCTTCTTTATTTTCTAAGACCCTGTGTTACTTTATAATGAGAATAAGACTTTTTCAAAAAAAACTGAAGCAGCGGTGCCTGGGTGGCTCAGTTGGTTAAGCATCTGTCTCTGGCTTAGGTCATGATCCCAGAATCTTGGGATCAAGCCCCACATCAGGCTCCCTGCTCAGCAGAGATCCTACTTCTCTCTCCGCCCCTCCCCACCTCACTTATGCTCTCTCTCCCTCTCTCTCTCTTTCTCAAATAAATAAAATCTTTAAAAATTTTTTAAAAAATAAAATAAATTCGAGTAGGATTTTTTTTTAAATAACAAAAATATCTGAGCTTATTTAAAATAAAGAATAGGTGAAAAAAAATGGGTGGGAGAAAACCATAGCAAAACATACAAAGTTACACCAATTAAAACAGTGCACAACAGGGGTACCTGGCTGGTTCAGTCAGTGGAGTGTGTGATCCCAGTCTTGAGGTTGTGAATTTGAGCCCCACACTGAGTGTAGAGATTATTTAAAAATACATTTTTAAACTTTGTTTTTCAAGATTTTATTTATTTATTTATTTATATATAGAGAGAGCACACGCACACTAGCCAGGAGAGGAGCAGAGGTGGAGGGAGAGAGGAATCTTAAACAGACTCCCCACTGAGCCCTTTGTGGGACTTTATCTCACCACCCTGAGATCATGACCTAAGTCGAATCCAAGAGTCACACACTCAATGGACTGAGCCACCCAGGCAGCCCCCAAAATAAAATCTTTTTTAAAAAATGCACAAGAGAAAAAAAAAAAATGCACAAGAGGAAAAAAAAATGCACAAGAGGAAAAAAAAAGCACAGGAGCCACAAAAATAATCTGTGGAATAGCATAGGTTTTCTAGAATCAATGCTATTATTTTAAACAATTGAATATATAGTAAAGGGGGTCATTGTATATCCACAGAGAAGGAAAGGATTATTTTTAAATGTTGCTGGACAATTGGTTTGTAATGGGGAGAAATATAATTTTTTATCTCCTAAAATAAATTCAGATTAGATGGTTAAGTGACTACATCTATCTGTGAAGATAGCTCTTTATTCTAAATGTTATTTGAGGTGGTAAAGAAACAGGCTTTGGTGAATCTTAAGATCTGCGTTTTTCTTCGTCTTATTATTCATCATTTTCTGAAAATGGAGTCTATCCTTTCAGATAGTGTTAGGACTATAATATTTTAGTTTGTTTAGGTCATACTATAATTCATTCTTCAAGATAGTGAACTTTAAGATCAGTTAACTGCAGAGGCATGCCTGGGTGTCTCAGTGGGTTAAGCCTCTGCCTTTGGCTCAGGTCATGATCTCAGAGTCCTGGGATTGATACCCACATCGGGCTCTCTGCTCAGCAGGGAGTCTGCTCCCCCTCTCCCTGCCTGCTTCTCTGCCTGCCTGTGATCTCTATCAAATAAATAAATAAATAAATTAAAAAAAAAAAAAAGGTCAGTTAACTGCAGTAAAATGACTTTTTGAAAGTAATATAGTGGATAGGAATTAAAACTGAACTCACAAAGTCATGTCATACATAGCCTTTGCATTTAAAAAGATGATATTTGGATAAATGCTGCTGATAAAATAGTCTCATAATGGCTTATTCTTGTTCAGAAAAGTCGTAACTTCACTAATGTAATTACATAGCTTTCCTCAGATCCAGTCTAACCTGGATCTCAGCTATCGGGTACTTATCAGACATGAATTTGGCAGCGGTCTCAGGAGTCTGAGCTGGTGTGTTATGGGCTGATGTGTCTTCTCAACTTCCATGCCATGCCTTCTCATTTCAAATGGTGAAAATAGTTTGTCTCTTTTTATGTTAACTTCTGGGTAATTTCCTGAGATTTAAGTTCTTTTTTTCACTGATTTTCTCTTTAGCTAGGTCTTATCTACTTATAATTAATTAACATCGAGTTTTGACTTTCATTTACTGTGTTTTTCGGTTCTAATTCCTCAAAGCCAGCCTTCTTTGATGGTGGATTATTGTTTTTGCTGCTTCTTTCTTTTTTTTTTTTTAAGATTTTATTTATTTGACAGATAGTGCTTATTTCTTTTTAATGTTTAATCATTTTATATATACTTATCATAACAGTCTTTGGTAATTCTGTTTCCTCTGTGAGAGTGGTGGGCTTTTGCTTCATGGTGGATTGTTGCCTCCTGTGTTTTGCAATTTTGTATCATATGTTTTGCAATTTTGTATTGTCAGCTCATTTTAAGACTTTGTGGGACCCTTAGGTATTGGCAGTGATTCTCCCTAGAGAGTGTTACCAGTTTGAGATCTTTTTTTTTTTTTAAAGATTTTTACTTATTTATTTGAGAGAGGGAGAGAAAATGAGCAGGGGGGAGGGGCAGAGGGAGAGGGAAAAGCAGACTCCCCGCCAAGCTGGGAGCCCAATGCAGGGCTCAATCCTGGGACCCCGAGATCATGATCTGAGCTGAAATCAGAGAGTTAACCGACTGAGACACCTAGGTGCCACTTGAGGCCGTTCTTAACTAAATTTTCTCAGTTTGAGGATCCCTGGACCACACATACAGTAAACTCAAACTTCGGAGCCTCATGAAGGCAGATCTGTGTTTACAAAATCCAGGGTAATGTTTTTACTTTCCTAGACCAGAGCCCCATGCAAAACGCAGATACTCTAGTCTTCCCATACACTACTGAGCTCCACTTATGCCAGGTCTTTCCTCTACCTTTTCTTTTTTTCTTAATTCATTTTTCAAGTTTTTATTTATATATTTATTTTATACACATGTGGCAGTAAAAATATAACACTTCTTTCTCTCCTATTTTCACGTAGATGGCAACATAGCATACATAATGCTCTATACTTCACTTCTTGATAAGGAATATTAGTCATATATTTTGGAGATCCTCCCCTATCATTCCCCTAATAAGCTTCCTTATTTATTTATTTATTTTTGTCATCCCAGTTGATGGACATTTGTTTTTTTTAAGATTTTATTTATTTATTTGAGAGAGAGAGCAAGCATGAGTGGGGGGAGGGCCAGAGGAAGAGGGAGAAGCAGACTCTCCACTGAGCAGAGAGCCCTACACAGGGCTCGATCCCAGGACCCAGGATGATAACCTGACCTGAAGGCCAATGTTTAACCAGCTGAGCCATCCAGGTGCCCCACCAGTTGATGGACATTTAATCCATGGCTCATTCCATGACATTTTGCTCTAAGAGTCCACGAATACTAATTCTCAGATGCCATTTTATTCAGTGACCTGTCTTCCCTTCCACTCACCAGGATCAACTTGCCGCAGATATGTACAACTTTATGGCCAAAGAAGGGGAGTATGGCAAATTCTTTGTTACGGTAAGTACCTCGCCTTGCCGAAATATGAAAGCATTGTAAAAATTGAGTCATTTTAGCTTTTTTTGCAAAAGATTTCATTTTTGGTTTTGCTCAGCCATTGTGTGTGTGTCCATCCGATGCTAACGTTACTTTTGTTTTTGAATGTGGGTCTGTTCTCAGTTATTAGAAGCCCAAGCAGATTACCATAGAAAAGCATTAGCAGTCTTAGAAAAGGCCCTTCCCGAAATGCGAGCCCATCAAGGTAATGTAACCTGCGTGCTGGCTGATGCCCCCTTTCCTAAGCCTCTACCACTTCTGCCTCTGTTCTTCTTCCCCCTGACTCCTTTGCATGCCTCTCCTCTGGGTAACGCCTCTCTGCCTAGGAGAGTACTATCTCCCAGCATAATTTCATCTTTCCTTGCCACATTCTCTAATTTCTTCCAAACCTAGATTAACCTACTAATGGGACATTCGCAGCGGTTCTGACATCTTTAGTTGTGGAGAAAGCTGGACCCTTTGGGGATGGCTGCCTGCATGGGTCTTCCGGTCTTACCCTCTTCCAAGTCCGTTATTCAGTCCATTGGGTTCAATTCTGACCCTGTGATTCCAAGAGCATACATTCTGGGGAAGATACTGTGGACCTTCTGAAAGGAATTTTAGAAGCCAGTACTTGGGGGCCCATCATCAGCGTCACTGAATCATCAGGCCGTGACCCCTCCTTCCCCCTCTTCCTTGTGATCCCACAAGGCTCTGGTTCTTAGCATTCATATCTTGCCCACTGTACCCAGGCTCTCAGCCGACTTCACCCACACAAGTCATGAGTGGACTGAGCTTTCTCCTGATGCTTAGTTTTACCTGCACATTAAAGCTTTTGACTCTTAATTCTCTGATTTGCCATCAGGGCATCTCCCAGCAGAGATCATTAGACACAGCTGAGGCAGAAGTTGCCCTGTCTTCTTTGGCTATCTCATACTATCTTGCTTGCGTAGACCACACGTTGGGAGCTTAGTTTCCCCCTGCAGAATCTTTGGTATGGGCTGAAGAGGATCAAGCCGGGTGCTGAGTGTGGTGACTCTGTGATCTGGGAAGCGAGTCAGCAGGTATATGGGTGGGATGTTTGTGTTGGGGGGTGTGCACACTAACTGCCGTCCTCAAGGCTGTCACTTCTCCTAGTTTGAGGAGGGCCCCCACAGCTTCTGGCTTTGTGCATGAAAGGTTTTGGATGACAGAATTCGAAAATTCTATCTTGACCACCTGCATAGTCAGACCTTCAGCCATCTTGAGTAAATGCATCTGATTGACTCTTCCTAGGATGAGCTGCCCTTGCTTTCCTAAGTGATCTAACATCCTTGTTGGGGGATGATGAGGTTGAGTTGCAGTGCAAAGGAGTGAAGCTGCTGGCAAACATTCAGCCTTGCAAGGGGCAGGCTCTAGCGGGGCAAGTTCCAAATGCCAAGAGTGTGTATCTGTGGGATTACCTACCCTGTGCCTGGCCCTGTGTAGGACGGAATAGGAACCATCATCGTCTTAGACTTTGAATGCATTAAAGTCTGGTTTGGAGCTGACTGATAAGCATTAAAAAAGAGAAGATTGGGGTTCGTGAGCAGGTCTTTTTTTTCCCCCCTAAGACTTTATTGATTTATTTGAGAGAGAGAGAGCATGAGAGGGGAGAGGGGCAGAGGGAGAAGGAGAAGCTGACTCCCCGCTGAGCAGGGAGCCCAATGCGGGGCTTAGTCCCAGGACCCTGAGATCAAAACCTCGAGCTGAAGGCAGATGCTTAACTGACTGAGCCACCCAGGCACCCTGTAAACTTTTTTTTAACGATTTTTTTCCCCAAGGTTTTTTTTTGGGTTTTTTTTTTTTTAAACAATTATTTCCCCCCAAGTCTATTTTCCCTAGAGAAGTATGCCAGCAAGTGACAGGGAACAGGAAGAGGGCAGGGGGGAGGCTGAGAGTGGAACAAGGAGCAGGTGTGCGGAGCAGAAACCCAACAAAGGAAACATGATCCATCTTTCTCTCCAAGGTTGCCAAGCCTTGGGATTCAACCCCTTCCACTTCTGCTTGTCCTCCCATCTCCCTATTGTCTTAGTTCCTATCTTCCTCTTTCTTTTTCTTCTTCTGTTTTCAGAAAGACTCAGAGCATCCTTACAGTAGGAAAAAAAAACACCTTGACCCCACAGCACTGTACCCCTGCGCACCCCAATCTCACACGCACTGTCAGCCAACCCGACTTGGTACCTGCCTGTTCACAACACAGTGCCCTGTTCAGTCTCATTCTATTCTGTTCTTCTGGTAGGCTCTCTGAATGTCTCGTTTCCACCAGCCAGCCCTTCACACTGTGCACAGTCTTGCTTCTACTCCCAGTTACCCTTCTATTAAGAGTAAAAAATACTGCAGTTCCCAGTGGACCAGGCTCTTAATTGTTTGATTCTGGCATCTGATGTGGCTTGGGCTGTCTCTCCCTTGATGGAACGTGTGCCCCTCATTGCACCTGATTGTGTCTTCCATTGTTAGGGCTGTGTATGTCCCTTCCTCATCCCTTTGTCCCCAGAGTTCCCTCCTGGTGACAGCCCTCATGTCCCCCGTGTCTTCACCCTCATAGCCACCTCAGTGCTGGTTCCCTCTGAGACTCCTCTGGCTGTCCCCAGAAACTCCAATGCATCCCAGAAAGCAAGCTGATTCTTCCCCCAAAACCAGCTGTCTTTTTCTCCTCTGTGTCTCCTGGGTGCCACCTCCCTTCAAACCATGCAGACTTGACCTTGGAGCCATCTTGTCCTTCCTTCTCCATACCCTGTAGCTGGGGTCCATCTTTTCTGCCCTCTGCTGGGCCGTCTGCTCTGCTCACACCGTCCCCCCTTCTCTGGGCTCTTGTCACCTTGAGCAAGAGCTATGGAATCAAATGTAAATTCTGAGACTCAAGATCCTGGTCTTTTCTCAGCCCTTCTTCCTGGTCTGTTTCATTCAGAGCCCCCAGCTCCCTGCCTTGAAGCCAGCAGCAAACACTTTGTCTCCCAAGTCATTCTAATGTCTGTGGTCTGTGCCAGAAGTCGCAAACGGGTGTATCTCATTTTTCAAAAAATTGTGCCACCATTTAAACACCAGACACCTTCACATAACAATCCAATTTCTGGCTTCTCTTGAAAGTCCTGGAAGTCTGGCGACATGGGTCAGCAGGCACTAAGGGGGTGTTCAGGGCTGCCTTTCAGTGGACCCCCGCCCCCATCCTGACTCAGCACCTCAGGGGCCTCACCGGCCTCTGTGGGCACCCGCATCTGCGACCCTGATCTGTACCATTTTCTGGCCATGACTTAGCAAACATGTCTTGTCTTTTTAATGACTGTTGTATGTTTACATGTGTTTCGTCTTGTCTTCCCAGTTAGAAGGGTGGGGAGTCTCTGGGAACGTGGGGTGTCCACTGTTGATGAGGCCAGCCCCTTCGGGCAGTTTGGCTCAGGAGTTGTCTAGGTAACTGGTTCTCACGTCCTCCCTCTGCCAATGTTACACCAAGGTTGGGGGTGGGGCACACCATAGAGCATTAACTAGAAAGTTCCAGCAGGTGTTCAGAGGATAGGGTCAGGCATTCAGTGGCAGCGATGGCAGATGCCATTTGCAAAACTGCCCTGGGGGTTCTGATGTTCCCCCCAGGGGAGGGGCCTCATAGCCATTTTCTGCTTGTGTTGAGAATCATTTAATTCAAAGGGACAAAGTGTGCAGGGAAAGGACTGGCCTCTGAGAGGAATGTCACAGAGTTCTGTCTTCTGAGAAGGGCCAGACCCCCAGATGCTCTTGCTACCAGGGCTGGGGCCAGGATCAGAGATGAGGAGGACACCCACCTCCCTGGTCCTCACCCCTCTTCTACCTGGATCCCACTTGCTCTTTCCATCGATTTTAACCTTGTAAAAGCTCTTGGGTCCATGGACATGGGGGTTCCCTCTTTTTCCTTCCCCTGTGTGCAGATCACGTGATGGGGCCCGTCCCCGCTCTTCCACGTAGCTGAGGGTAAGGGGCACATCAGCGTCCTACTGCCTGCTTTGAACCTAAGGTTCGAACAGCAAAGTGGCTGTGTGACAGTTGTCCATTAACGGTGCCGAGAAGGACGCGAACCCTTCCCGTCTCTGGAAGAAACTAAGTGTTGCTCAGCAAAGTAGTTTCCACGGGCTGGTTTCCCCTCTTCTGCGTCTGTGTGCGTCTCAGGCAGCTGGGGATCCGTACGCACCCACCGGCGGGCCAAACCCAGTCAAAATGCCTCTCGTTCTAATGGAATATGTCCATTCACAAAATTCTTGTTTCTGTTTCACTGCTCTACTGTGCGTATTCCTGCTAAGCTGCCTCACACCTCTTGTGGAATGAAGCAGAGTATGTGACCCCAAAATAATAGAAACGATCGCTTTACTGCTGACGCAGGCTTCAGCCTCAGCTGCTTTGGGGCTGCAGATACCGCGTGGTTTCCTACTCGGAATGTTCGGGACCTGGCTGGGGCGATGGCACTCGTAGGCCCTGCATGTCCTGGACATATTGCGTTTAATACGAGTTCACATCGGCCGTCTTCCGGTCCTGTGTGATGACGCTTGGCTTTTGTTTAAAATCTTAAGAAGTTATTTCCTCTTTCATATTGAAGGAGTCTGTTTCTTGTCCTCGAGATAGAAGGCCAGTGGTGCTTTGCACGGTGAGAGTAAATTTCCTTCCAGTGAAATCCGTCTGCTCGGACGAATCCTCGGGTTAGGGTTAGCGCCAGGCGGCCCACTTGTCCCTTGCAGGAGCCCCCTCACGCCTTCTGCTCAACAGCTTCCCCTGGAGAGCGTTCAGGGCTCTGTTCTGAAAGTAACCCCCCAGCCTGGGACCTATTCTTGTTCTAGAAAATGGTAAATAACCAAAGCAAACAGAACAGATGCTTCCCCTTTTCCCAAGCCTCAACTACCAGCCTGCTTAAAAAAAAAAAATAAAAAAATAAAAAAATAAAAATTCCCCTTTGGTGGTTTGGGGAGAAAAGAAACTCCCCACTGATGCCATGAGATCGCTGAGAGTCTTACTGGATGGTTTGCTACTCTAGATAAGTGGGCGGAAAAGCCAGCCTTTGGGACGCCCTTGGAGGAACACCTGAAGCGGAGCGGCCGTGAGATTGCCCTGCCCATCGAAGCCTGCGTCATGTTGCTCCTGGAGACGGGCATGAAGGAGGAGGTGAGCGGCGCTCTGTGGCCCTGCCTGCCGCCGCCTACGCTGCATGGACTGACGGCTTTCCAGCTTCAGTTGCCATGACCCACATTTTAAATGGGGACCCTGCACATTTTACCTGGAACAGACACTATGAATGAAACGAGTTTCACAGAACATTTCCCTTTTCTGTGTGTGGTACTCTCTGACTTTCTTTTTCCCCACTTGATTGTTTCATTTTCGACTCTGGTTGTGATTTGTGACATTGAATTTCATTTTTTAAGAAAAGTTTTTACAAGATTTTATTTATGTATTCATAAGAGAGAGATAGAGAGGGAGACAGAGGCAGAGGGAGAAGCAGATTCCCTGTGGAGCAGGGAGCCAAATATGGGACTTGAACCCAAGGCTCTCAGATCACAACATGAGCTGAAGGCAGATGCTCAACCAGTTGAGCCACCCAGGTGCCCTAGTGCCCCTTAATGTTTTAAAAGGTTTTACTTATTTGTTTGAGAAAGAGAGAGAGAGAGAGAGAGAGAGAGAAGGAGAGCACAGAGGGAGAGTG